GAAATAATGTGCGTTGTCACGTCTCCCGGCATTTAAAGATGGACTGGCGCGTTCCCTAACTTTTTGGCGCTCGAGAAACCTGGAAATCTCCTAACGAATGCACACTTCGCGCTATCAGTAAACCGGTTCGAAGTACGGGTCAAATCCACCCGCCACCTCGCGAACTCCCCGCGCCAGGGCAAGCCCCTTAGCGCGAGGAGTGGGGGACAATTGATGAAGGAAGATTTGGCCCGACCTCTTGACCACCCAACACGTGGCAGAAGCAACAGCTCGGCACGGCAGTACGCTCAAGGCGCGAGCTCCTAGAGGAGGAACCAGCGGTCCGAGCTCCCAAAAAGGAGCCCAAACTCTCCCTTTGACCCCGAGCCTTACGAGGAGCGCAAAGGGCAACAACCCGAACTGGCCCGCCCCAGGGCAATTCGGGCCACACCTCTACCCGAACTCAAGACTTCACCTCGCACACCACTCCAGCACTTCGGCTCCAGGCCGCCGAACTGAACAACCATACCTGACACCAAAGGAGTCAGTATCCTGAGGCGGCGCACCTAACTGACTTAGGATCTGACACTTGACAGCCGCACTTCAACGGCCACCTGCCACCGCCACCTCCAGTCACAGAGACAGCTCCGACAAAAAGAGCAGTGGCGGTTGTCTGCCCCAGCAGAGGTAATGACACCCGAACTGGTAGAAGTGCAAAGGTAATGATACCCGACCTGACAGAAGCTTGGGAGTGAGTGCGTGAAGTGGTTATAAAAGGCTCTCTTCCACCCCCCCCCCCAAGAAGAGGTATGTGAGAACTTTGCGCCATCTGATTTATTATCTTGACTTTGAGAAGATACTAACTTGAGCTTCGAAGCACTCTCACCGGGTTCCTCCCCGGAGATACTCGCTTTCTTCCCCGTTTCAGGCACCTTCTGTTCCAGCCAGAGGCAAGATCGTTGATAGCTAAGACCGGCCGGATTGCACTCCATCAAGTTGGTCCCATCCAAGATGGGTAGGGTTCAAAAAACCAAACAACTAGAGGTGTTCAATATATGGTCTAGACCAACAAACTGCACCAAACCAAAATGAAATTGGCGATTTGGTCTGATCTGGCCTTAAAAATTATTTGGTTTAGTTCAATTTTTTGAATTCCAGAAATTAAACCATAAATTAAACTAAACTTAATTATATTTGTAATGTATATGCATGTATGTATTCATTTACATTTAGACATTTCATAATTCTTAAGTAGTTAATACATTGTTGCTTGTTTCAATTTTTATATTGTAATTAGATGTGCAAGAAACTGTTTATGTTTGAGAAATTGTGGTGCTTCTTAATATTTCAATTTGATATTTGAAATATATTATGTAGGTATGCATTGTATTTGGACTTTCTAATTGGATTAAGCCCGATAGAATGACCAAACCGTATAAGAAAACAAACCATTTGGTTTCTATATTTGGCTTGAGAATTTATCAAGCTGTATTTACCGGTTTGATCTGAGATCTTTTCAAACCGAACTAAACAGAACCATGCATGAACACACCTACAAATGACAATATAAAATGGAGAAACAAGAAAGAAATTATATAAATACAAATTTCTGTTACTCTTAGAACTCACACGTGGAAGCTGGAGCCTTATTTTAGTCCATATGATTTTTGGGAAATTATCTATAATCTCCCTTTCACTTCGGTGGAAAAAAGGACCATGCAATGCACCAAGGAGCCTTCACACTTTAGGCCCAGTTTGGGAAGAATACAAATACAATTATGTAGAGCGCAAACCATATTTATATTTGCACTCTTTTCAAACTGAGCTTTAATGAAATGCCTTCAACTTCCACGCTGTGCATAAACGCCCACATAACCAAGCAGAACTACTAAACATATCAGTGTTCCGTATGCGTGGGCCCACACTCTGAAACCAATAATGTAATGGAATGAGAACAAATTAGCTCCCACACAATAAAAAATACATGGGCTCACAACCATTCAGGAAGTGTTTGGTTTCATTGCCGTTTTTCAAGAAAACGACGCCACATTGGAGCCACATCAGATATTCTTGAAAAGGCAAAAAATGCATGCATTGATTCTCAAAAATCGGTGCCACATCAGATATTTTGACGTTTTTTGCATTCTCCAAAGCCCAAACGTTGTAAGGAATGGTCACTAATGTGATTCCAACATGACACCAATTTCTCGGAAAATGACAATGAAACCAAGTACCTCCCGACCATTGCATTGCTGTTTTTCTGAGAAAGAGCAAAGAAACCAAACATCACCTCAATCTCTCACTTAGCATTTATGGCTGACATGGGGTATTATCATTGGTTCCACATCCCACAAAACATCCATGAGCCATCACTTATTATTCACTTTCAGCTTATCCAAATTATTATGAAAGACAGGCATACTCAGGATGACAAGTAGCAAATCCGGGCTCCAATGAGATTTGTTAACAGTCGCTCAGATCGGGTACATCCAAAATGAACCTAATGTGCAGCTGTAGTCTCCTGTGCTGTGGGTAGGTGTGGACAGGAGATCCACTGCCTCCTCATAATGGTATTAAATCGGATGGTAAATAAAAGAAAGTGAATGTACTATACCTCTCATACAGTGTATTGTTCAGACATGTATATTTCAATGTATACAAAATACCCTTAAAAGAAAGTGAATTTACAAATGAGCAAAATGCCACTGACTTAAAGACGAGGGACCCCTTGAAGTCACAAGAAGATGAAGATATATCAATGTTTAGGTGGTGGTGCATTGTATGGACACTCATGATTTAGGCATGTCAATGTACTTTATGGCTTTCTTATCCTTATAAATGTGATTTGAATAAAATTGATCAACAAAAATAGATGAATGGCATTAGTTATGGAACCTTTTTTTGGGCAGGAGAGAGAGAGAGAGAGAGAGAGAGAGAGAAAAGTATATGATTTAAACCTTTAAACCGTAAGGGCATCTAAAAGGAGCTTGAATCTACTACCCACAAGGTACTGCAGATGTTTCCAATGCATGGCTATGGTGTCTTGTGGGTAGTGTGGGTAGCATTGTGGGTAGAAAATGAAGATCCGGAGTCATCTAAATGTCGGGAAGTTTTAAGTTACAGGAAGTTTTAGATAGTTTCCTCTCCTCTTTGCTGATGTGTAAGACGGATTTATATTATTATATACAAGTTTAGATCTTTTCAACTATTAGACAACTCAACATGCTTAATAAACTGATCAACAAAAAATTAATGAAACAGTATTAGTGGTGGAACATTGTTTTGGCAGGAGAGAGAGAGAGAGAGAGAGTCATGAAGTATATGATTTACAAAACCTTGCAGGGTTCCTTGGAGGAGAAAAGATTAGCTGAACTTGATAGGACCAACCATGCGTTTTGCTCCACACCAGCCGTAGATGCAAGTGACAGATTGAGTAATTGTGAGGCATATGCACTTAATGGCTGGTATGGAGCAAAAAGATTGGTCCCACAGCCCATAAAACAGCTATATCAAGTTCAGTTAATCTGCTCTCAGAGGGAAGTATCTAAACATCGGGAAGTTTTAGATGTTGTCAATAAAGTGACAAGAGGTTTTAGATAATTTTCTTTTTTCTTTGCTGATGTGTAAGATGGACTTGTATAACCCTAGAAACTAATAGAATTTTCTGCAAACCCGATCAGATTTGGATGCTCCTTGTGATGAATGACTGAAGCTGGGGCACTCTAACCTAAGAAACAAAATAAAGAATCCGAGACATACAGTGATACAGTCTACTAGAGCAGTATACAATAGAGAGCAACCCAATCCAAATTGGGCTGAACGCAATGGGAGGTTACTTGCCCTTCCCAGTCTGTTATCCCATACACACATCATATAGTATATGAGATGGCATTATATAATGGCTTAATCCAACATTTATTTCCCTATTTTTAAGGTGAGGAACATAACTGATTTGCATGCACTTTGGGAGCAAGATACTCAATAGACTAATTCAAGCCCCTCCATATTGAGATTTGAGACAAGTGTCTCACTGACCAGGGATCTCATCACTTAATCACCCAACCTAAACCAAGCCAAATGGCTTTCTGTTGACCTAATAAGAGCTGGAAATAGGACCCAATGTAATCCAATAACAGTGGTTTCTCCATGCATAATAATTTTCAAGGAAACAAGCAACCAAATATTTTTTTCTTTTTATGGAAAATAGATAATAATAATATAGGAAAAAGAAAAAAAAAAGAATGTTGCCTGTGTGTGAAAGTGAAGCTGAAGCACAGAGATAACCAATCTTCCATCAACATGTAGCTTATCATGACCACTGGATTTTCCAACATGTTGAGGATCAAATGAGGGCCAATGGCTACTCATCCATCATTTTCCTCCCTACAAAGTTATCTAAAAGCATTGAAAACATGCAGTTATATTACTTGAAAAGTTTATTCTTGACCAAGAAAGTTATTAAAAAGACCTAAAAGAACTATTGAAACAAGTAATCCAACCTTCAGGGTAGGTTCTTTTAAAAATGATATGTTTGCATTATTTGCATAAAAAATAAAAAGCTAATCACAGAATAAAAGAAGTGAATTAAGAGAAAGTTGAATTGTATTTTGACCACCCCCTAAAACTAAGGCAAACATTTTTGCAATACAATACTTGGTCGTGGATACCATCCATTCAACCAATGAATCTGCATTTTGTAGGAATACCATGTGATTAAGTATGGTGGAGACCCAAGACATACAGTATTACATGATGGTCAATGAAATTCATTGGTGTGAACTGCCCAAATTATAATTTAAGCAAAATAGAGACTATTTTCTTCCGGTTGGTGAGATAGGTTTTCTTTTTTTTTTTTGATGAATGGTTGGTGAGATGGGTTTCAACAGCAATCTTTTCTTTTTACTACAGATTGTAAATCAAAAAATCAGACCAGAAAGTTCGGTCAGGGAAGTGTACCCATTTCATTTGACACTCTGATTGCCACCTTACTGAATGCCTTTGGGATGCATAAGAGATAGATATTGAGCAACTGAGATTCCATATGAATCTCTTGGAACTAACCTGCTTAAAATAAACATAGATGCATGCATCTGACAAAGCATAGATCATAGAGGAAGCACATTTCTCTTAACTGCCGGGTAGTTCATACATCTCTGAGACTGCTTCCAGCAATTTGTCATTCTCATACTCAGATTGGGACACTGGAATGTATTTGATTTCACTCCTTGTAAGGACTTCTAGGCCTTATTCTCAATCAGGCTTGTATATTTTCTTGTCATTCTCCATCCATAGCCCAACATTAACTAATGTAACATTGATCTACATGGACTAGCTACCATTTTGTCAATCCCCAGAATTCCATCTTTTGCTTGGATGACACAAAGGTTCAATTTGGCTGAAGGCAACGTTCAGATGAGGACTCTAGTTCCAATTCAACATCTCCACATGCACTAAGAACTGTGGTAAGGATGTAGTCATCCACCTTAATTCCTTCTGCTTGCATCCGATACATGAGCTTTAGAGCCTCTCGGCAAAGCCCATTTCTTGCATACCCTACAATCATTGCCTTCCAGGACACCGAATTCCGTTCAGGCATGCTATCAAAAACTTTAATTGCCTCAGAAACACACCCACATTTTGCATACATATCAATTAAAGCACTGCCCACAAACACATTAGACAAAGAGCAAGTCTTGTTAACAGATGAGTGAATCCATTTACCTTGCAAAAGAGCTTTTACATTGGCACATGCTTTTAAAGCTGATGAATAAGTAAATGGGTTTGGCACAACACCTTCGCACAGCATTTCTTTCAAGAACTCCAGAGCCTCTAAACCATATCCAAGATGTGCATAACCAGAGATTATTGCAGTCCATGAGACAACACCCCTAAAAGGCATGGATTGAAGAACTTTGGAAGCATAAATGAACTCTGCACATTTGCAGTAGAACCAGACAAGGGTGCTCCCTACATAGATATTGTTTTGGATGGAATTCTTCAAGACCTGAGTATGAACTTCCTTTCCAGTGGTTAAGGCCCCAATTGAGCCACAAGCCCTAAGGATGCCGACAATGGTCAACTTATTTGCATATATATTTCGCCTCTTCATTACTCGAAAAAGGCTTATGGCCTCTTCACCAAGTCCATTTTGTGCATAGCCTGCTATCATGGAAGTCCATGTGACAGTATTTCTCTTCCTCATTCTATCGAACACTTTTTTAGATGCTAAAACTTCCCCACATTTTGCATACATGCCAACTAGAGAAGTCCCTACAAAAACGTCATCCTTGAACATACTCTTAACTAAAGCACCATGTAGTTGTCTCCCAAAACTTAGATCCTCCACTTCACTACATGCCTTCAGAACACTACACACTGTATACTCATTTGGAATAAAACCCTCAGATTGCATTTTTGCAAACAAATGAAAAGCCTCTTCTTCATGACCATGTTGTGCACAAGCTGTTATGATTGTGGTCCAACAAACTACATCGTGCTCTAACATTCGATCAAATGCTTGAAATGCAGAAGATAGATCACAGCATTGGGCATAGAAGTGAACAACGGCACTATCAACAATCAAGTTACTCCAATTCCCTTTTAGAATGCAAGCATGAATTTGTCTTCCAAGCTCAAAATTTGATCTCCTACTGCATAGGTTCAATATACACACAAATGTTTTACTGTTAGCTTGTACGCCACTTTCAACCAACTCGCTGAATAACCGTGAAGCTTCTTCGTCGAACCCAGCTCTCAAATAACCATTAAGAATCGCAGTCCATGAAACAACATTTCTTTCCATCATTCTGTCGAACACCTTACGAGCCTCCAATAATTTACCAACTCTCGCATAGCTAGAAATCAAATTATTATCTACAAACGTCACAGGAGCCCCTAAAAATTTTACAACGATTGCATGTAATCTTCTAATTTCTTTAACAGTACAAGACGACTGAATCAAGGAAGCAAGTACGCCAAGATCCCTCGACACAGAATCAGATAAATCGGCGTCTGGGTTTTGTGCGGAATGGGAAACATGGCAGGTTTTCTGTAATCTGTTCGAAAACAAGCGATCTTTACAAGAAAAACAAAGATACTTTGTGAGATTCTTGTACTTCTTCTGGTTTATCCCAACTTGCTTGCTCCCTTTTGACGATTGGGATGGTTGAGGAAGAAACAAACAGGGTGGTTGAAATTGAGGAATGTACAAGAAGGAGGGCGAAAGCATTGCAGGGATTAGCCGTTTTCGCGGGAACACAGACGGCTTGAATCTACTGATCCCTGTTCTCACAACCAGTGGTCGTCTGCCTTGTGATATGGTGCTTAACCAGCGTATCAAAGCTTAAAAGAGAATTTTTTTTCACAATTAAGGGATCCTTCATATAAAAAGTGCGGATTTTTGTCGTCAGATTGGAATTTTCTGAACAACATACCCCACCTTGGATTGATAAGGAAGATTTTCATTTTGCTTCTTGCCACGTGTCAAGTGGAAGAAAATCATGATTTGCTGTAATATTGTTGCTAATATATTTACTATTTATTCCCCGAAAGCCCTGCCTCATGCGGGGAGCCCTCTTTGAATCATCACCAAAATCCTAGTTCCTAAATCCTAACTAGTATTCCTGAAGTTCCGTCCAGGTCGAAATTTCTAATACCAGATATATTTCTTGTACGAGTTTTCGTCCATGGAGATTGCTTCTGCGACTATTCAAACATCACGTCTACTCCCAAACCGTTGGTATCCAGTTAGAGGTTCTATCTGTTCACGAGACTTCTCTGTTTCTTTGAGCTTCAAGAGAAATTCAAGTCTAGCTTCTCCATTCTCCTGCGGAAACAAAGGTCAGGAGCTCTACCACTTCTGAGGTTTTGATTTGATCGAGTATTTAGGGCTTTGCTAGGTTAAGCTTTAGAAAAAATCATTTAGTTCTCAGTTTCTGCTTCTTTTTTTATATTTTCTACATTTGCTGTTGAAGTTTTTGTAAGATTAACTTTTACATATTCACTCGTTTTTTTAGAAAGAAAGTAGGAAGGTGTCTGATTGAATACACAAAAACAACAGTCTTTTGCCTAACTAGACATGTAATTGTATGTAACTGTGCTTTTGACGACTGAAAATAAAAGGAGAGATTAAGAGAAGAATGCTAACCACAGTTTTGGTTATATGATTAAAAGAGCGGATTTTGTAGGAAAAAAGGAGTTTGTTGGATAATTTCAGTTCTACATATTCAATTTATCCACAGAATTTGGCAATAATATAAAGGATAGGCTAATTACATTGTCTCCTTTCATTTCGGACGAATACATATGAGAAAAGTTTTATGTGAACGAGTAGTAGTAGCTTTGATAGGTTGGTCAAATATTTTATATTCGATTTTCAAGTCATATGAGTGTTTTCATATTTCTGTCATTCAAGGGTTCTACCTTAAGTGTAAATGCTTCTTGTTTCTTGAATGAAAAAATGTTCCTTTAAGTAAGATTTGTCTGCTAATTTTAGAAATCTCACAAACATTATCTCACACTTTTAGGTTTTCAGGTATTCAGTTCTGTATGGACTTGTTTGATGCAACCATGCTATATTAATGATTTGTACTTGTGATAAATCATAACCTCTTGTCTGTGTTTCACTGATTCAACTGATGCTTTTCAGGGTTTCATTTATCCCTTCAACCAATTCGGCCACAACAATTTTCTCTCAAAGCCATTGCTGGTGATACAGCAGCAGTACCAAATGATTGTGCTAGGGAGGAACCATCATTCTCCCAATCATCCAGCAATATGGATATTCATGAGGAAAGCACAGAAGAAAATAGTGAACTTGTTGATGGGCAAGACAAGTCAGAGTTAGACAATGCTAAAATGATCAGAGTTTGTGACAAGTTAATTGAGGTTTTCATGGTTGACAAACCTACAACAACTGATTGGAGAAGGTTGCTAGCTTTCAGCAAGGAATGGAGCAATATCCGCCCACATTTCTTTGGTCACTACCAGGAGCGAGCAGATAATGAGAGTGATCCTATGATGAAACACAAGCTACTTCGACTTGGAAGGAAGCTGAAGGAGGTAGGTTTCAACACTCATTGGCCATGGATTATTTATTCCATGTAAGCTAATGCTTTCTGCATTTGGCATGCTTGGTTTGATTGATGATAATCTACAAGTATCAACAAGCTTTTTTGTTTTATGGGGGGATTTATTTTTGGAGTGCGTTATCATTCACCATTTGATGAATCTTCTGGGGCAATATGTTCCTTTTTGGGATGCTTTTGAGCTGTTATTTCTCAGAAACTGTTTCCTGTGCAAGTATTCCCTGAATATCAAAGAGTATCTGATTGATCATATGGTTCTACTTTAGTAGTTTCCAAAAGGAAATTAGTACATCAACCATTTCATGAAATCCATATAGAGTTTCTCTTTTTCAGATTGATGAAGATGTGCAAAGACATAATGAGCTTCTTGAAATAATCAGGGGAGCACCATCTGAGATTAGTGCAGTTGTTGCCAGGCGGCGTAAAGATTTTACCAAGGAATTCTTTGTCCATCTTCACACAGTAGCAGAATCCTATTATGATAATCCAACAGAGCAAAATGGTGAGCCTTTTAGGTCATTTGAATATGTAGCTCATTTTTTAGCACCTGATTATCTACTTTGGGTGGATATCAAATTTGGACAGAATGTTTGTGTTTAATTATGTTTTCCATTTGAGTAAATTTTGTGATTCATATTTGATTTTTATCAAATAGCATTGTGACTTCTTGATGATGTTACATCTGTCATAAAATTCTATACCTATCCATGGTGTGGGAAGAATTGCAAAGCTGAATATATATCGTTTTGTTTTTGTTTGAAAAGCTTTGGCCAAGCTCGGGAATACATGCATAGCTGCAGTACAGGCTTATGATACTGCATCTGAAAGTATTGAAGCATTGAATGCTGCTGAGCTGAAGTTCCATGATATAATCAATTCACCTTCTCTAGATGCTGCTTGCAGAAAGATAGACAATTTGGCTGAGAAGAATCAACTTGATTCTGCATTGGTGCTGATGATCACCAAAGCTTGGTCAGCAGCCAAGGAATCAAACATGATGAAAGATGAGGTACAATGATAATTAGCTTCAGAAGGAATCAATTTTCTTCCTTAACATTTTTCTACTTTCTTGCCTAAGGTAATAACTGATATAGTGTTCACAAGTTGCAGTATACATATAACTTGTCTTTTTCTTAGTTCTTGGTAAGTTGTTAATTTTTTTTCATTAGTAAAACTTTGATTATATTAATTGAATGAGAAAAGATAATACAATTTTGATTTGACGATCATGATATCATCCCTACAATCAATACTGTGTTACAAAGATGCCCAAAACAATGGATTGTGCTTCACAAATAATAAATAGGTCTTGTCAAGGACCAATGCGACCTGGCTGAAACATTCCAACCTTCATATAAGGTTGGCTTGGCTGATTTGAACTTTGAATTGGTTTGACTGGGGAGATCACAACTATACATGATTTGCTTTCATTAAGTTAATAGGAACCATTTAATGGTTTTCTTTCTTATTTAAATTTCTATATCAATGATCCAATTATGAATATATCTTGAATAGGTTGACAATCTTAGCTCAAGCCAAACTCGTTGTTTGCAACCTCTTTATATCCTAACCCTTTTTTTAATTCTCACTTCAAGTATTCAATAGTATACCCGATATTGTTTATATTCTTGATAATTGGTTCAATTCTCTCCTCTATTCTTATATCTGGATTTGTTCTCCACTATTCTTTCTCATTCATCCTGTATTGCCTTAACCCTGAATCTTCTTTCTTTTTTTCCTTATAAGTAACCTACAAATTTATCAATAAAGTGGAAATTGAGGAAAAAATTAAGACAGGCCAAAGGGTGAAGTACCATGTCTTCCTCTCTCCTATGAGTGCCCATCTTCGCATCAAACAGAATTTGTATTGCCTAAATTATGCTAAAGTCTCTTGGCCATCAAAAAAGGGGAGCTCTAAATAGAAATGGGCATGTATGTAGTTATATACCTACCTGATTATACATGTTTATAGCTGATTCACACCCTTGCAAGGGGATACCAGATGAAACAATCATCACAAAGGGATCAGTCTTTAGCTGATGTTTCTCAACTACAAGATCTCCTAGACCAAAATTCTTGGAATTGTTTGATCTGAGCTGCCAATTTGTTCCATTTCTTTGGACCAGATAAAAGATTATGTCAAGAGATTAAAATTCATGTTAATTGATGGCTATTATCGACTGATTGATCAATTCATTATAAGTATGACCTCCTGGATGGTGCTGATAGCCTGATACATATTGGGTCCCAAACCTTTTGAGCATGTCCATGTGTTAGCAAGACTGGAGCATATCTTTCTCTAGGTTCCCATACTTACACAAGATTCTTCTTTTTTTTTTTTTTTGATGAATACTTACACAAGATTCTTCTTTGATCATTAGATGAAAACCTTATTGATAGTCAATGTGTATGATGCACAATTTCATGGGTCCTTGCATGAGAAGTGAACACATTAAGAGAGAAAATATTCCCTGACAATAGATGATGGGTGGGGATAGGGAGACCTGAAGAATCCTAACATCCCCATCCCCCATAAGAGAGACTAGCATAAACCATCCCCAATAAATTGCTCAACATAAGATAGGCCTTATCACCCCTCCCCTGAATCATATGTTCATTTTGGAAGCCAGGAGTCTCAAGCTCCAATAGCCTTCTTGCATTTATCGTTAACCACCTCAAACCCCCCAACTCCCATGAAAAAAGGAAAACTTAAATGCCACTGAAATCCTTGTTCTAATCTTTTACTTATTTTATTTTTTAAGGAAACAGTAACTTTCATTGATAAGATTAAAAAAGTATATCTGTCACCACTCAAAGGATGGCTAGAGAACCCAACAACATAAACAATCCTACAAGCATGCCCAAAACAAAGCTTCCCTATTTACTCTTTGCTTAGCTAAAGCATCAACCATTCCATTTGCTGGTCTTCTTGCCCATTTAAACTGCACTCTTAACTCCCTTGCTAAGTTCAAAATTTTTCCCTTAGTGGTTGCCTGAAAGACCACATACCCAAACTTCAATCCAATTAAGAACATTAGTACAAATCTCCTTAGCAAAGTCATAGCCATGATGATTTCACCATGTTATTCTAAATTAACCACCTATTTGTGAAGGAGTTATGTTCCCAGTTGCACAATTGTCAAATTTTAGATTCATAGCTCCCTGTTGTACATGCCAGCCAGGAGGGCCCAGTTGGTGTGCACTCCTGGATTCTTTTCTATCATGTATTTCCTTTACGAGTCTCTCATGGTCAGGACCAACATTGGGTAATGGCCCTTTTTCTTCATCCTTTTCATGTACAATACTTTTTCTATATTTAATACAATACATATCAGTTACTCCCAAATATAAGAAGGAAGAAAAAGAAATGAGAATTCAAACTGATCATCAGAATTGTTTTTTTTTTCATTTGAATATCTGTACAAGTTCTACTACGATTTATAATTTTTGTTCCATTTCAGGTGAAAGATATATTGTACCACTTGTACATGACTGCAAGAGGTAACCTTCAAAGGCTCATGCCAAAAGAGATTAGGATACTCAAGTATCTTCTCACAATTAAGGATCCAGAGGAGCAGCTATGTGCTTTAAAAGATGCATTTACCCCTGGAGATGAACTTGAAGGAAAGGATGTAGACTGCCTATACACGTATGTTTCAAGAAACAATACCTCTGCTGCCCTAGTTATCTTTAATTAGAATTAAAAAAAAAAAAAAAACAGCAAAAGAAAAGCAAAGTCCACTTCTCTTAGATTGTCAGACATTAGCCAATGGCAATATATACGTACATATGCAGGGATTTGAGGTCCCCCTGTTGCTGGAATCATAGGTTTTCATGAAGGATCATCCAATTGTGTCATTTGTTTTTGCCATACAATGTGGATACTTGATGGTGCTCCAGCTTCCTTGCATGTGCATAATTTGAACCATAGTTCTGCTAGTGATAAAGCATTTGTTTCGACCAAGAGGATATCATTTTAGGTTTTCCTGCAGTTTTCCTTTCTTTTCTTTTTTCCCTTTTCATAAATTTTCTGCTTTTTTTAATTACTTTTTTCCCCTCTTGTCTGATACTGTCATTTTTTCCTTCTGGTTCTGGCTATGTTTGTCTTGTGATGTATTGAGCTTCTGTACTTTCATAGGACGCCAGAGAAGCTGTATACATGGATTAGTACTGTTATGGATGCCTTCCATTTCAGCAGAGAAGGCACTCTTGTTCGGGAAGCTAGGGACTTGATGAACCCAAAAATTATTGAAAGATTAGAGGAACTGAAGGTGCTAGTCCAGAAGAACTTCATGTGAGACAACTTCACTTATCTCTCACAGTGGATTTATTTAGGAAAGTTCAACCTTAGACTCTCAACCCACAAGTACGATATTGAAATTCATAAATTTCAACCCAAATTTATGGTCCTCACCTTGCAAATGTATTTCTTGATTCCGAGGCATCATTAAAACCCACTGACTTCATTTGGAAGCCTTAACCTTCTTTCTGAGTTGATTTGAGTGAAGAATCCCCACAAATTTTCTATGGTAGGAGTAGGACTGTCTCCTTTCTGGGGGGAGATATCTGATGCAAATTATATGATATTTTGAATTTATTACATGGAAATTTATTCTCTTACTGATCGTGGACTCTTGGTGTCAAACTTTTCTGTTTTTTTTTAACTTTTAGTCAGCTGATTTGTGACGCAAAAGATCTGTGTGTGCACTCATATGCTCATGCCACTCCTTGAACCATGAAATAGTAGGCAGGCATATTTACAATTTCAGGAGCTTTAAGAGTAAATTAATTGTCAGATTTCAATGTTCTGAATATCCTTTCATTACCGATCCTCTTTTTTCTTAGACCATTCTTGTTGAAATTTGTGAATATAAGCCCTATTTTCACGTCTATATGCTATCTATTGATTGCATCAATCCCAACACCCAGCTGACAGTTCTAGCAAGAACCAAAAGACACTAGCTTTGATTTCAAGTTTCCTAGACTACTCGATCCACACATCTCACCTTATTTGAAACCTTGATATGAAACCCTGTCAACATCCGTTCGAAATAGCCTATTTGAGCCCTTATAGTTATTTGGACTCATTCTATATGTTAGTTAAACCTTGTTCTAAACATTTTTCTTCCCTGAAACTCTCTGAGGTCTGAGCTATGTGATCTTTTTTACATTTCGTTGTTTTAATGCAAATCTACTGGGATGAAGAGAAACACAGAAAATTTGTAATTTGTAATAGCCAACAACTGTGAAATGGTATACAGACAGGCCTCCGTTCTAAATTGATTGCAGATGGTTGGGGCACAAAACCATAACATTGTTCAATTGAGATGCGGAAATGAAGATGAATAGTAGCCTTGCTCCAGTTCCCCACTCAGGTCTAGTTAGGAGGAATCGAATGGACCAGCTCCCTGGATGAGCCATGATACTGATACAGGTTCAGGTTCCTTTTGCTTGTACCTGATCGACGTACGTCAGAGAACTGTGCCTGTCCATTGAAATTGAAATTCCATTGTCACAGTCCTGGTGATCTAAACACAACTGTGTTGGATCCTCATCGTGAATTCGTCATCATCATCATCATCCATGTGTTATCCCCAATTAGGTCAACTGCTTGAAACCCTTGTCCAACTATACAGGGTTTTTGCCAATCAACTTTATTTAAATGTGCTTAAATCATTTCTTATAATTCTAATACCTCAAGTTCTAGTTAGGATTGGCAACAGGGCAGGTTCAAGATGGGGATCATAATTTCCATCATCGATCCCAATTTTAAAATAAAGGTCCGTTTGATTCATAGTCGGAATTGGAATCAGAATCAAAATCCTCCGGAATTAGAATCGGAATGGTCCGTTCCCATAGTCTTTTTGGTTTAGACAGGAATTGGAATGAGAATTAAAATCAGTAGGAATGGGATTTCACTCCCAAGGGAGGGGCAAGGAATGGCCATTCCCTTATATGGGGGAATGCCATTCCAGCAGGAATGGGAATGAAATTCCAATTCCACCCAATCAAACAGTTAGAATGGGAATAGCCCATTCCGATTCCGATTCCATAGCCCTATTCTTGCAAATCGAACGCTAAATTTCTATTCCCTAACATAGATCCTCACCAAGAATAAAAATTATCCTTTATCCCCAATTCCCAACAAAGACAGGTTCAAATTGGGATCATTTGCCAACAAAACAAGTTCCAACACCCTACCAACTTGGTCTAACATTATACATCTCGTTATAAAACTGGGGCGTAACCCACTATGTATAAGATGTCAGTGTCAGATGTTAGTAGGTATTGGACCTAAAATCCCCAAAAATTTTTAAAATATAAATACTATTTGTATGTGGAGATTTCATTCCCCATCCCTGCTTGAGTATCCTATTAATCGGGATCTCCGTCCCTGCCCCATTAAACAATATCCATCCCCAATCCGATGGGAGAGGTTGGGTACTAGAGGGGATGGGAAAACTGACATCCCTATTCTAAACCATTCAGTTCTAATCCGTTCAAATGTGTAATAAATAAAATACTTTTTGGCAAATCTTTGTAAAAAAACTTTTAGGATTTTGTATTTAAAGACAAAAAAAAGATATATTCAGTTTTTAGGGTTTTGTCTTTTAAAGACAAAAACCATTTGATAAATGATTTGATTTATCAGATATTTAAAAACATATTCAAAAGAAGCTATATATCAAATAAAAACACCATAAAACTTCATTTGAAGCTACTTGAACAAAAAAAAAAAAAAAAAGACTAATTTTCCATCTTTCAATAACACTTGCCGAAACTCCGCCTTTTATTCTAATCGGCATAATTAGTGGTTTTCTATGCACGTGCCGAACCACTTAAGTGGATTGAGGAACGAGTAAAGTGAAAAAAGCGGATATTGATTAGGGTCGCGGAGCACATGAATTTGCCCCAGAACCACTCAATTTTAGCCATCCATTCCTAACTTGGAACTTTGCAACACCGAAAACCCAAGTCACCAATAAGGGGAATTTTTGGCATATAAGTTAATGACAGTCAATTATGTAGATTCCTTGACGCGGGTTCCATCGTTAGACATCACAACCCAAATATCTATGCATATGCAATATGTAAGCCAATTCCCACTTCGGCTAATGTTTTGGGCCCATAAACCTCTGAATTGCCGCTGGCTAAACCCCGAGTCCAAAAATCTGAACCCCATGAATTCTGAAATCTGAAGGGAAAAGCGTGTAACAAATTGGATTGGATTTATCATCTATATTATAGGCCTTAAGAAACTATAGGTTTTATGTACAGAAACTACAGAAAAATAGAACTTACAAAGGACCAAATAAAAACATCCGATCAATTGTATAACCGTGGCAATGAACTAGGAACGACTCCCAATTCCCAAAGTCATCAATCAAGCTGAGATGAGACCATCAATTGCAGCAAGTCCCAAATCGCTTTTGGGCTCCAGAACCCTCTTCACCAGATGAAACTTGTCTTCTGCAGCTTTCCTAACCCAAGAGAAGCCATCCCCATCCATCCTGCGTGCCAGGACCGAGACATAAGAAACCAAATGGACCTCCTCCGCCTTGGCTCTCCTCATCCTCCTCTCGTACTCCTCTGCAACCAGAATCGCGATATCCGCCATTTTTCCCTTTCCTTCGCTTCTTCGTCGAACGCTCGAAACCCAAAACAATTTACAATCGTTGGTGTGGTCGCTTACCGAATAATCGTCCACGTCTGGGCATTTTATACCAGCAACTGGGTTGTGGGTTGTGATGATGGGTCGGAATGTGGTTGGATTCGTAGTCATCGTTCATCCCTGCATGTGGGGCGGTTACTGTTTTGGATAAGATCAACTTTTATTTTATGGTTTCATACAATTATACCTTCTCTTCTTTTCCCCCTTTTCCAAGTTTTTTAATGGTTTTATATTTTTTTTTAATCTAATTACTGCGGATTCTAGTGGAAAATCTAGGCTGTTTGGGATCCGAGGAAATACATGATAGAGTCACTACAAGAAGATTGATGAGATCAATAGATCTTATTGCTTACACCGTTGAATTGAAATGGTAAAATAAAGCAATAAATAATAATAATGGTTATTTATTAGAACAATTCCTATAATTTCTCAGATTTATTTGAACTTATTCTATAATTTTTATTTTATTAAGACAACTCATATAATATGCAATAAATTTATTTGATCCATCTTTACTATTAACATTATGTTTGGTTTGAAGGAAAAAATAGGGAGTAAAGGTTTCCCTACATTTTCTTTCCTTTCCGTATTTTTTCCTTTAAATCAAACACAGTTTAAGTGTATATATTTCCATTTGAAAATAATAACATGATCGCCTAAATTGATTTAAAAATGCTAGAGGGCTGAATCCATAATTTTTTTATTTTAAAAATATCCTTAACATTTCGCAGAAAAAACAAAACTAATCAAAAAGAATTAAAGATCCAAATAAAGTGATTATTTGTATTTTATTAAGGGTAAAAATAGTATTTTTAATTTTAATTTTTTATTAAAATTATTCAAATAAACATTAGGATCAAAATTGTTATTTTCTGTGAAGATATATTAAATAGCTCAAATGCAAATTAAAGGATTATAATTAGAGTGTTTTAGTAAATTCATGAAATTGTAGGGTATTTTGATAAATAACCCTATACACGTACATTATGCATTTATATAGATTTGATGGGTAGAGTAGGTGGGTCGTGATCACCGTCCATTAATACTGATCATTGACCACGCTGACTGGTCAGCCAACGCGTTTCCCACCTAGAACTAGAAGTAGATAACTAAATCAAGTTTGATTCGTGTCATTGAAGAAAAAGATTCAGATTCAGCGGTGAGTGACCATCTACGAGGCTACAGGCTACGACCAGGTCATGGACTCATGGGCCAATGGCTGACGACCGACCGACTTCTTGGTCAGCACCCAAAAAATTTAAAAAACAATTGAACAACGGGTGGATTGGAATCTTCTTGAACTTTCTCGGAAGCGTTTGATAGAGTGCTTTCTTACTCCCCTTAATAAGTATTAAGTATTACATCATGGTGATGGTGGTTGAGATTCAAAATATTTTAATCAAAGCTACCAATCGGACAATTTAGGGAGCACCGAGCCGTCGTCATGATTAAAAGAGAGGGCGTCAAGTTGTAGCCACATTGTAGCAAATCTCATAGAGTATGTATCCAGAATAGTTTTAGGATTCGTTTGGTTCGCAAGAATAAGGGTTTGTAATTGGAATCCAATGGTCCAACCATTTGGTTGGGTAGAATTGAAATGGCATTTTCTCATTTTAAGAAATGGTCATTCCTATTCCAGCCATTCTAATTTTGTTTTTGATTCCCGTCAAACTGAATGAACAAGAAAATGGGTGATCCTCGGGCCGGGCTTTGCACTTATGATAAGGGTTATAACCTAGGCCAGAGTCCAGCCCAGTCCGGGGTTTTAGGCCTGGAATATAAGACCAAGCCCAGGTCTACATGGCCTCAATTGAGTCGGGCCTATGTCTTTAATATATAAAATATTACACATATATAATATTTTATATTAAATGACATATATAATATGCATGTAAACTTATTTTATACACTATAATATAAATTATACATATTATATTATAATATTTATAT